CGATCAGGAAAGAAAAGGAAATAAAAGGCATCCAAATAGGAAAGGAGGAAGCAAAATTGTCACTGTTTGCAGATGACATGATAGTGTACATGGAAAATCCTATAGACTACCCCAAAACTGCTCGAACTTATTAATGAATTTGGCAAACCAGCTGGTTACAAAGTCAATATCCAGAAATCAAAGGCATTTTTGTATACAAACAATGAATCAGCAAAAGCAGAAATCAAGGGAAAAAATCCCATTCAATATAGCAGAAAGAAAAATAAAATATCTGGGAATAAACCTAACTAAGGAGGTAAAAAACCTGTATGCAGAAAACTACTAAGCCCTGAAGAAAGAAATCAAGAAAGACACAAACAAACGGAAACATATACCTTGTTCATGGATTAGAAGAATTAACATCATCAAAATGTCCATACTACCCAAAGCAATATACACATTCAATGCACTACCTATTAAAGTACCAATAGCATATTTCACAGACATAGAACAAACACTTCAAAAATTTATATGGAACCATAAACAAGCCCAGATAGCAGCTGCATTTTGAGAAAGAAGAACAAAGTAGGAGGAATCACAATACCTGATATCAAACTGTATTGCAAGGCCACTGTAATCAAAACAGCCTGGCACTGGCATAAAAACAGGCACATAGACTAATGGAACAGAACAGAGAGCCCAGAAATCAACCCAACTCTCTACAGTCAATTAATATTCGACAAAGGGGCAGTAACATAAAATGGAGTAAGGATAGCCTCTTCAACAAATGGTGTTGGGAGAACTTGACAGCTACGTGCAAAAAAATGAAACTTGAGTACCAACTTACACCATACACAAAAATAAATTCAAGATGGATAAAAGACTTAAATGTAAGCTGTGACACCATTAAAGTCCTAGTGGAGAATATCGGCAAGAAAATCTCAGACATTTCACGCAGCAACTTTTTTACTGATATGTCCCCTAGAGCAAGGAATACAAAGGAAAGAATAAACAAATGGGATCTCATCAAAATAAAAAGCTTCTGCGTGGCTAAAGAAAACACTATTAAATTAACAAGACAACCAACTGTATGGAAAAACATATTTGCCAATGATACCTCAGACAAAGGTTTAATCTCCAAAATATACAAAGAACTCACATGACTCCACTCTAAGAAGACACCCAACCCAATTAAAAAATGGGAAAAGGACTTGAACAAACACTTCTCCAAGGAGGACATGCAGAACATTCAGAGACACATGAAGAGATGCTCAATATCGTTAGCTATCAGAGAGACGCAAATTAAAACCACAATGAGATACCACTTTACACCAGTCAGGATGGCTATCATAAACAAAGCAACAAACAACAAATGTTGGAGAGGTTGTGGGAAAAGGGGTCCTTAGTTCACTGTTGGTGGGATTGCAGACTGGTACAACCATTATGGAAAACAGTATGGAATTTTCTCAGAAAAATTAAAATCCACCTGCCTTTTGACACAGCAATTCCACTGCTAGGATTATATCCTAAGAATCCTAAAACATCAATATCAAAGAACCTATTCACCACAATGTTCATAGCAGCACAATTTACAATAGCCAAGAGTTAGAAGCAACCTAGGTGCCCATCAGTAAATGAATGGATCAAAAAATTGTGGTACATGCACACAATGGAATTCTATGCTGCAGAGAGAAAGAAGGATCTACTACCTTTTGCAACAACATGGATGGAACTGGAAAGCATTATGCTGAGTGAAATAGGCCAGGTGCTGAAAGACAAATACCATATGATCTCACCTTTAACAGGAAGCTAAACAACAAAACAAACAAGTAAGCAGAAAAAAAAATTAAAGACACTGAAATAGAGAACAAGGGGACAGTGACCAGAGGGGAGAGGGAATGGAAGTTAAGGGAAAAAAGGTGGAGGGATTTGGAGGAACAAATAGGAAGGACACAGGGATGAGAACTAAGGGGGGTGAAAATGGGAGGGAGTTGGGGAGCAAGGGGCGGGGGAGGCTGGGATGGGAGAAATAGACAAAAAAACTGTACTTGAAAAATAACGAAATAAAATTAATTTAAAAAAAGATCTTAGCTTTCTCTTATAGGGAAGTGATCAGGAAGAGGGAAAGATCCAGAATTATGGGACTAGATATCATCCTTGAGTTGGGGACTCTAAATACTCAACAGAGTATGTGGTAAAGAACCAAAACTAAAATGTACCCTATTACAAAGACAGGCCAAAGTTTTGGTAAGTCAAGAATAAGTTAAGTAGGACTTCTGACAAGATGGAGGTATAAGTGGATGTGCCGTGCCTTCTCACACAACCAAGTTTAGGGACAACTAAATATTAGCATCAGAAAACACAACCAGAACACGGAAAATTGAACTTTTCGGAAGTCCGTTAACAACAAATTCTTCAGCCCGACCGGTAAGGGGCGAAACCGGCGTCTCGTGAGGGGTTGCACAGGAGGACTCCGGTCGGACGGACCCAGGCGTGGAATCCAGACGCGTGAATCCAGAGGCACAGTTTCCAAAAGCAGGATTGGACCTAGTGAGTGACCGAGCAACCCACCAGGTGAGCGACTGCAGAGAGGACGGTGGGGAGGCGGTGCTGCGTGTTGACTTCGGTCGCCTATCTGCGGGAGAGCGGACAGGTGAGGGAGTGGGCAGTTGGACCGGCCGTGGCGGCTGAGGGCGCCGCCATTTCCCCGCTCTGACTGCGCCTCCACATACAGCGTCACAACCCAGCGACCTGGGAGTCCAAGGCACCGCTTCTCCCGCTTAAAGGGCCAGAACAGACCAAAAATGCCGCAGGAAGACCTCAAAGCCCCAGAGATAAATCTAAGCGACAAAGAAATAGCAAAACTCTCAGATGCACAGTTTAAAACACTGGTCATCAGGATCCTCACAGAACTGGTTGATTATACCAACAAATTAGACAAATACATGAAGGCGAAACTAATGGAAATGAATGGAATTCCACAGGAAACCCATAGCGATGAAAAGGAAACTGGGACTCAAATCAATGGAGTGGACCAGAAGAAAGCAAATAATGGCCAAACAGAAAAGAGTCAAGGAGCAAGAATTCAAAGAAATGAGGAGAGTCTTAGGAACCTCCAGGACATCTTGAAACGCTCCAACATCCGAATTATAGGGGTACCAGAAGGGGGAAAGGCACAGCTACCAGTGGAAAACTTATTTGAACAAATAATAAAAGAAAATTTCCCCAATCTGGCAAAGGAAATAGACTTCCAAGAAATCCAAGAAGCTCAGAGAGTACCAAAAAAGTTGGACTCAAGAAGAAACACACCAAGGCACATCATAATTACATTAGCCAAAATTAAAATGAAGGAGAGAATCCTAGAAGCAGCAAGAGCTAAGGGGACAATCACCTACAAAGGAGTCCCCATCAGACTGTCAGCAGATTTCTCAAAAGAGACCTTACAGGCAAGAAGGGGCTGGAAAGAAATATTCCAAGTCATGAAATCTAAAGACCTACAACCAAGATTGCTCTATCCAGCAAAACTTTCATTTAGAATGGAAGGACAGATAAGGTGCTTCTCAGATAAGATCAAATTCAAGGAGTTCATCATCACCAAGCCCTTATTATATGAAATGTTAAAGGGACTTATCTAAGAAAAAAGAAGTTAAAGAAACATGAACAGTGAAAGAACAACAAACTCACAGTTATTAACAACCACACCTAAAATGAAAGCAAACTAAAAGGACAGCTAGATCAGGAGTGGAAACATAGAAATGAAGATCTCAAGGAGGGTTAGCAACAGGGGAGTGGGAGGAGGAGAAGGGGGAGAAGGTACAGAAAATAAGTAGCATAGACAGTAGATAGAAAATAGATGGGAGGGGGCAAGAATAGCATGGGAAATATAGAACCTAAAGGACTTGAGACACATGGACATAAACTAAAGGGGGGTAATGGAGGGGAGGGAGGGCAGGGTGGAGGGGAATGAAGGGGGGAATAGAACAACTGTAACAGCATAATCAATTTTAAAAAATAAATTAAAAAATAAAATAATAAAATATAATCACTATTTAAAAAAAAAAAAGAATACGTTAAGTAAGTAATAAGTGGAAGCTTCTTGAGGGGAACACTGAGAGTGGTTAGAAGCCAGAAGTGCTTCTCAAATTTAATCTGCATGCAGATCACTCGAAGACCTTGTTGAAATGCCCATTCTGATTCAGTAGGTGTAGGATTCAGCTTTTCTATATAGATCTGAGGTAATACTGATGCTCCTAGTTGCAGGACCACACCTGAATAGCACAGGACTATGGAATAATTAATTCAATGTTCATTTCAGATAAGTATTGGGTTGGCCAAAAATCTGTGTTTTTTTCCATAAGATAAAAGACACATTTTCCATTTTCACCAATAACTTTATTGATTTGGATATTTTGCGTATGTTGGCTCTCTCCTGCTATTGGCTTTTAGTGGGTAGAGGCCAGGGGTGCTGCCAAACACTTTACAAAGCATAAGACAGCCCCAGAGCAGAGAAGTATTTAGCCAAAATGTCAATAGTAACATGAAACTTGGCAAATCACTTCTGATTCATTTGATCAGTCACATCTTCATACACTGCACAAATCTTTTTCTGGGTTTCACTTGCATTTTTCCCTTTCTTGAAGTAGTAAAGCATAATATGCCAAAAATGTTGCATATCTTCTTCCATCTTCAATATTAAAATGACTGCACAAAAATCCACCAATTTGGTAAGTTTTTAAATGCCTGCTGATATGATAGCTGTCACAATACAATCTAACAAAATATTTTCAAGTGAAGTTAAACACAACTAAGCACTACTAGTGCTATCATATAGAAAAAGTGTAACAGACTTTCTGGCCAAGCCAGTATTTCCATCATAACAAAGGGAGGATTCACACAAAGGCCTTATTGATACCGAGGATATTGTGGTCACTGGGAATGCTTACTGATTGATGGGTCACATCACTTAAGTGCTGTAGCACATGAGCTAGGAGCCAAGTCCACACATGTGTTGGTTTACTCACTTGTTGTTTAATGCAACAACACCCACTGTGCTCCTAGGAGTTGACATACTGGCTACATAATTCCACTGACGGCCTTCAGGATCCCATCTTTCTACAGTGTTTAGGTAGCTCCATCCATCATGACCACCAACAGCATACATTGGTCCTTCCAGTGTGGCTACACCTAAATGGTAAAAAACAGCATGAGGGCGCACATAGTACGACACATATAATGGCTATTCTTTCATTATGCAAGCAACTAAGTGCTTAAGAATCGGTTTTTGCTTTTTTAAAAAGATTTTATTTATTTTTAGAGAAGGGAAGGGATGGAGCAAGAGAAAGAAAGAAACTTCAATGTTTGGCTGCCTCTCTTGCACTCCCTACTGGGGACCTAGCCTGCAACCCAGGCATTTGCCCTGACTGGGAATCGAACCAGTGACCCTTTGGTTCTCAGGCCGGCACTAAATCCATGGAGCCACACCAGCCAGGACTGTTTTCTTTCTTTTTAATTAAATGATTTTGTATACTCATGGATAATTTACTGATCTTGATATGAAAGTAAATACAAGTCTTTTATCCCTAGGAAATTTTCAGGTATAGTTACCATTATTACAGGAGGATATCATTTTTGTAAAATTGAAGTTAAAGGAGGTAGTTAAACACAGATTTTCAGGGGATGTAATAGAAAAAGGGAAGCCAGTGTTTTTCTGGAGTCATTTCAATGGCATTTTTGAATGTAAGAGGAAGATGAGCTACAACATGGACTCTTAGATAAATCTTAGTCGGCTAACTGTGGTAGGCCTTTTTAATCTCTGCTCTTTATTATAATGATAAAAAAGGTTCTCATGAGATAACTAAATAGACAGGGTTTTTGAGTCATTACACATTTGTTCTATTAGAGACTATAAATATCCCCTTTCTGTTTGTCATCTGCTCCAGGAATGCATGGAATTTTTCCTCCACCCTCTTCTGCATCTTGGTGAGCCTCTCAGGCATATCCTCATCACCTACCCAACCTCTCTAGTAATATCAATTTGCTCGAAAAACAAAAACAAATTGAAAAATTTGTTTTCTGCCAAAAAACAAAATTTGTTTTCTGCCAAAACAATTTGAACACAAATTTTTTAATTTGCTTTCTGCCAAAAACAAATTGAAAAAATTTTCAATTTGTTTGAAAACTTGCTCTGATTTCTCTGGGAGATAACTTTCTAGTCTGTGTCTAGGAATGACTGACACAAGGGAGCTGAAGGTATAGTTAATATAGTCTGCCATTTACCACTTCACATAAATCATTTATCCCATAATTTGAGACAAAGGATACCAGACCTGGATAGGTTACTTTTTAGCAGTATAATACTTAATCCTCAAAATAGGGTAATTATTCTGTTTTAAAGAACTATGATATTAAAAACGTATGAAGAATAGCATGAACAACACAGAAGTAACCTGAAAGATATCGAGGAGATATCAAATTTACCCACTGTTCCATACCCCATCTTTCTTAAAGTTCTTTGGAACCTCCTCCTTACACTGTAACTCAGAGCTCTGCTCAACCAAAGTGGTTTCTTTGGTATACATTTTTTAAAAGATTTTATTTACTTATATTTAAAGAGAGGGGAAGGAAGAGAGAAACATCAGTGGGTGGTTGCCTCTCATGTGCCCCCTACTGGGGACCTGGCCCACAACCCAGGCATGTGCCCTGACTGGGAATCGAACCAGTGGCCCTTTGGTTCGTAGGCCAGTGCTCAATTCACTGAGCCACATCAGCCAGGGCTGAATTTAATTTTTCAATAGCTCTATTAACTATACATTTCTCAGATACCATATAACACAGGTGACAAATACAATGCCTGCAGGCCGAATCCGGCCCTCCACCTTGTTTAATCTGGCCAGCACTTTGTTTCTACACAGTGGCACTAAGCTCCTTGCCCCTAGTTAAGGAGCAGTTACATTTACACAGTACTAAAATTACATTCAGCCCTTTGAAGGCAACCATGAGGCTGATGTCCCCCCGGTGAAAATGAGTTTGACACCCCTGACCTATAACATCAATCTCTTACCTAAGCCATGTCTATGGGTTGACATGGGAGGCATCACAGTCCAGATTTTTCCAACTGGATTAAAACATTCTACAGTATTCAAAGTTTTTAAACCATCTCTTCCTCCCACGACATAGAGCTTATTTTCAATAACTGCAACTCCAAACTGAAGCCTGCGGCTACTCATGGTGCCAATATGTAGCCAGCTATTGGTCCTGAGGTCGTATTTTTCAATCGTAGTGGTACCTGTGTGAGGAATATTGAACAATGGTAAAAACCAATTTCATAAAATTAATTGGCATTATTTACATCCTATTTGCATACCTATAATTTAGCATGGAATCTGTTATTGGTATAAAAATTAAGGTGATTCTCCAACCTGGCAGGCAATGGGAGGGTAATATTTTACCACTCCCAGATCCAAACGGAAAACTCAGAAAGAAATAGTTTATTTAATATGTACGGTTTATACATTCATAATGGCTTCTTTGGCTACTAGAGGTACTAATACAGGTGTCAAACATCCTATCTGACACAAGAAAATGCCCTTAAAAGCTATTACTGTCTACCCATCCATTATGATTTTCATTACCTATGGCTATTCAATAGATTAATTTATGCCTTTTCATTTTATTCAGTTTGGTGTATGTGTATCTCGGTGTTGACTTAAAATAGAAATGACTGAAGAAAGAGGAAGAAAAGTTGCTTTTAAATGGGCCTTTGTTGTTCATTCACAATATTTTGTGATGGCAACACAAAGGATTATAATTAAGAATATGTATTATTTATGAGAATTAAAAATATAATTCAAAGGTAGTGTCTCCTTCATTCCTTTTCTACTCAATTACTAGAATACCAAGTTTACTGCTGTAGTATATTGTCACTGCTATCATAGTAAATTGTCACTACTTCATAATACATTGTCACATTTGTCGGCAATGCATTTTACCAGTCATTCACAAGTAGCTGCTGCTATCTTCTTTAGGAAAAGTTGATTTTGCACAGCAGGGAAGTTTCTATCTAAAAACTAGGATGGAAAATAAAAAATTACTATTTACATGTATAGAGTACCTAAGACAGAGTGTAACAGGTATAGATAATTTCATCCCAATTTTACAAAGTCAGCCACAATAATTAAAAAAAACACTTTTCGATTTTGTTCTTCTAATGGGAGATTTGTGGAGAAAACACAACCCATTGGTTATAGTGAAAATATAGTTACCTTCTGAAGCGTATTTACTGCCTATAATTGTATGGTATGGGGTCATATTAAGACAAAATATAAACTGGGTATATGTTCTATCTATACTATCTTCTGAGAGGTTTTCTGTGTATTTTGCACTAGTGGAAACAGGGTTTGTTTCTTTTCTCTAATTCTAAATATTTTATGATGAATAATGCACTTTATGTATTTCTGTCTCAAGAGTTTTATTTTTACCATAAAAATTTATGAATACACAGTTACTGATTTGCTCTTTGTCTTTAATCCCTGCATCTTTTACTGATAACACATATTTGGCGGACTTACAGATCAGCAATTGCTCTGTTGACTACACAGACCAGTGAGAAGTCCAAAAACACCACCTAGAAGAGTATCTTTTTCACACTAAATATCACCAGATTATACTGTTAACATGAGAACAACTACAAACTCACAGCTTCTTTCTCTCTATCAACCAGTTTTCTCTGAGTGTTTTCCTATTGTTCCACATTCTCATTTTCATCTTCCTAAATCTGTCTTCCTATCCTTTCCTTCCTATTTTAACTTAAAAAATATTTTATTTATTTATTTTTAGAGAAGAGGGGACAGGAAGGAGAAAGATCAGGGGAGAAACATCAGTGTGTGGGTTGCCTTTTATGTGTTCCCTACTGGGGACCTGGCCTGCAACCCAGGCATGTGCCCTGATTGGGAATCAAACTGGTGACCCAGTGCTTCATAGGCCCGTGCTCAATCCACTGAGCTACACCAACCAGGGTCCTATTTTAACTTTTTATTTCAAACTTTTCATCTGTGGAAATTGCCCAAGACCCAATTTAAATTAGAAAAAAAGGCTAAGCTGCACTAATTATTAAGATTATAGACACGAGATTAATAGTGAGGTAAATCAGGCAGGACATCGTATATAGAAGCTTTAAACTGAGAAGTTATAGAAGTCTGCTTTGTGCCAGGATAATTTTTGTCTTGGCATTAGATTACATATAGCAGATATATTTACCCCACAAACCTTATTTGCATCTGTGAGCATATGTGACTAGTAATTCTGAATTTTGAATTCTGAAGATTCTTCGGCCTACTTGCTCACCTCCACTATTGCTTCAAGTAATCAAAATGTAAATTCTGTAGCTTGCTTAGTATGACAACTTTATATTTAATGGAACACTAAATTTGTTTAACCAATCTTTCTCCTAAATACCCGTTTTATAATTTTTTCTGTGTACATTCTGCTTCTGCCATAAAACATTACAAATATTTTTTCTCAATGCATTTCTGAGCTCCTAGCTAACCCTCATTTATGACTCATTCAAGAAGGAACAAAACCAACCAAATTTTGTAATATTTCTGGGAACAGGATGGTTCCTGTAGTTGTAAATATATCTGATTTAGTGTTTTCCTCTGTCTATTTTTAAAATAACTTGAAAAGGACTGTAGTAGACTTTAATGTGTCCCTTGTTATATGGTCTCTTGGAAGTCATTGCTTTTAATGAACAAATCGTTACTGAACACCTTGTATGTACTATATACTATATACCATTTGGCAATTTTTAAATTTTTACTCTGTACTTATACAACTTTCTGATGATTATTTTAATATTCATTGTAGAAGTTATAGTTAACCAAAGCCACTTGTGTGATATCTATTTTTAACAAATGATTCTAAGTCAATTGTGTAAGTCAGAGAGGAAATTAAAGACTAAGGAAGTATTGTATTTCCTAAATATAAAAGGTGAAAGTTTAGAAAGTATCTTTAGAAAAAGATAAATAAACAAGACACTGTACGAAAAGACATTTAATATAAATTATAGTTTTGTGAATTACTGTGAACTGGTACATTTTTAATGTGTAATACTGATTAATATAAGTAAATGCTAACCCCTTAATGTTTTTGCCATACTTAGTTTTTTTTTTCTTTTCTTTATTTCTTTTTTGTTAATGACCCTGATTTTTAAATAGACTGACACCTGTAAGGAGAGGGGACAATTTTATTGTTGTCATTCCTCTTTCTTCTAAAATAGTGGAAGTATAGCAAAAAGGGATATACAATTTGAGTAGGAATTCCATTTCCAGTATTTCTATATATTTGTCCTTGAGTAGGCTGTCTAACCTTAAAGAACCTTAGTGTCTTCATCCAAAAAATTGGGGTAATAAAAACTACCTTTTAACTTGATTGTGAGGAGTAGAAATGATGCTTGCAAAATTCCAATAAGAATCAGATACTCAAAAACAGCAGTTTTTACTGTTATCATAGTTGTCTGCAACTTCCAATGGACCTGTTATGTCTCTTTGTACTAGATAGTCAATCTCAGAATGGTAGCCCTACTTATTTTCGTGCCAAACCATGGTAATGGAGCCATAGGAATGTAGGCATGCATTTCACTCATTTCTAGGAGCTGATATTTACTACTCTGTATGTTTTAGATTTAAGTATAGTTGGTATACTCTATTACTTTAGTTATATTAGTTTCAGGTGTACGATATAGAGATTAGACCTTTCTTTCCCTTACAGTGTGATTGCCACACTAATTCTAGTGATCATCTGTCACCCTGTAAACTTCTCATAATACATAGACTATATTCTCCTTTATCTTTTTTGCCTATCACCCTACCCACTCCTTCTCTGGTAACTATCCGTTCGGTCTCTGTTTTACTGTGCATTTTATTTTGTTTGATCATTTGTTTGGTTTTTATGTCTACATTCCACATATAAATGAAACCATGTAGTATTTGTCTTTTTCTGTCTGATTATCATTTTTGTAACACATTCACCTATGCAATGTTAACTTAAACAGGAACCTGTAAAAGTAACAAAAACAAAAAATATAAAAACCAAACAGATAAAGAGAAAATGTTCCATTTCTCACTTTGCAGGTTAAGCTTTTTTTAAAAAAAAATCAGAAACTAAGAATAACTATGCTTGCATGTTATATTGAGTCCTTTTCTAATGTCAATATGAAATAAGACACATGTTAAACGGCTGTTATTATTCATTCTGTTCAACAAAATGCAATAACATATCAAGTTTCTAGGCTTGAAATTAATTATAGGACCTCACTACATTTGTTATTTTCTGAAGAACATTAGTTCTGTGAAGATACTCTAGTACTTCAGAAATAACTGCATTTATAAACTCATGTTTTATAGATTTATGATTATTGGCATATATCTTATATAGTTTCCAATTTCCAGTTGTATAAACCCCCCAAAATTCAGTTTTCGTAACAAAACTTTGACTCTTGCATCATTCTCTACTGGTGTCAAATGACATTTATATGTGTAATTTGGCAAATTTAAAGTGGACTGGTTTTATTTCCTACATGGTCAACTCTTAATTACAAACTCCTTGCCTCATTGTTTTGGCAACATGGGACTATAGACTGAGAAATAGTGTAAAAAAGGTAGAGCTATAGAAACATTTGTTCTAGAAAGTGTTCAGGGTAGATACTTTGGCTTCAGAAGCTGTTCCCCACTCCATTTGATAAAATTCTTATGTAAAACCACTACTTTATTCCAGGTTTGCATTTCTGACCTTGTTATTAATAATTCAAGGTTCTGGAGAGACTTCCGCCAAGATGGAGGCATAGGTGGATGTGCGGTGCCTTCTCACACAACCAAGTTTAGAGACAACTAAATATTAGCAACAGAAATCACAGCCAGAACACGGAAAATTGAACTTTTCGGAAGTCCGTTAACAACAAATTCTTCAGCCTGACCGGTAAGGGGAGAAACCTGCCGCTGGTGAAGTGGGGTTGCACAGGAGGGCTCGGTCAGACAGACTCAGGCGCGCGGAATCCAGGCGCAGGGTTGGACCTAGTGAGCCACTGAGCGAGCCACCAGGCGAGCGACCGTGGAGGAGACAGCGGGGGAAGCGGTGCTGCGTGTTGACTGTGGTCGCCCATTTGTGCGCGAGTGGACAGGCGAGGGAGTGGGCAGTTGGACTGGGCCCGGCGGGTCCCCGCTGCAAGTGGCAGTACAAGGCGCCGCCATTTCCCCGCTTTGACCATGCCCCCACATACAGCGTCACAACCCAGCGACCTGGGAGTCTAAGGCACCGCTTCTCACACTTAAAGGGCCAGAACAGACCAAAAAATGGCGCAAGATCTCAAAGCCCCACAGCCCATAGATCTAAGCTATGAAGAAATAGCAAAACTCTCAGACGCACAGTTTAAAACACTGGTCATCAGGATCCTCACAGAACTGGTTGATTATAGCCACAAATTAGACAAATATATGAAGGCAAAACTAATTGAAATGAATGGAATTGCACAGGACACCAATAGCAATGAAAAGGAAACTGGGACTCAAATCAATGGAGTGGACCAGAAGAAAGCAAATAATGGCCAAACAGAAAAGAGTCAGGAAGCAAGAATTCAAAGAAATGAGGAGAGTCTTAGGAACCTCCAGGACATCTTGAAACGCTCCAACATCCGAATTAAAGGGGTACCAGAAGGGGGAAAGGCACAGCCACCAGTGGAAAACTTATTTGAACAAATAATAAAGGAGAATTTCCCCAATATGGCAAAGGAAATAGACTTCCAGGAAATCCAGGAAGCTCAGAGAGTCCCAAAGAAGTTGGACCCAAGAAGGAACACACCAAGGCACATCATAATTACATTAGCCAAAATTAAAATGAAGGAGAGAATCCTAGAAGCAGCAAGAGCTAAGGGGACAGTCACCTACAAAGGAGTCCCCATCAGACTGTCAGCAGATTTCTCAAAAGAGACCTTACAGCTGAGAAGGGGCTGGAAAGAGGTATTCCAAGTCATGAAATCCAAAGACCTACAACCAAGATTGCTCTATCCAGCAAAACTTTCATTTAGAATGGAAGGACAGATAAAGTGCTTCTCAGATAAGATCAAATTCAAGGAGTTCATCATCACCAAGCCCTTATTATATGAAATGTTAAAGGGACATATCTAAGAAAAAGAAGTTAAAGAAACATGAACAGTGAAAGGACAGCAAACTCACAGTTATTAACAACCACACCTAAAACGAAAGCAAACTAAAAGGACAGCTAGATCAGGAGTGGAAACATAGAAATGAAGATCTCAAGGAGGGTTAGCAACAGGGGAGTGGGAGGAGGAGATGGGGGAGAAGGTACAGAAAATAAGTAGCATCGACAGTAGATAGAAAATAGATGGGGGGGCAAGAATACTATGGGAAATATAGAATCTAAAGGACTTGAGACACATGGTCATAAACTAAAGGGAGAGTAATGGTGAGGATGGGGGTTAGGGTGGAGGGGAATGAAGGGGGGAATAGAACAACTGTAACAGCATAATCAATAAAAAATTTAAAAAATAATTCAAGGTTCTTCTTAACTGGCATTTGAGCATCTAACAGGAAGTTGACAGCAGTGAGTTAGGTGCCAATATTCTATTACCTTTCATAGAATCCATGCCTCCCACAGCATAAAGTGCCCCCACAGTTGATTTTCTGGGCTTGGTCCGAGGGCTTTGCATCATGGGTCTTCTCTCGGGTAAGAGGTGATACTTCATAGCTTCTATCAGGAGCTTCTGACATTCAAGATCACCAGTAAACATGGAGCTATTTTCAAGATCTGCCAGTAACTGAAAAGTAATGATACACAGTGTATGAAGCAAAGAGCTCACCATCAGAAAAAATGTATTTGCGTTTTTATAACTTTGGAGAAAATTCATGCAAATTGAAGTGTAGAAAGGTTATTATGTAATATTGTAACTTATTAGTTACATTTTATGTTCAGCTATGGCATGTAGTTAGAGAAGTAGTCATGTTTTTGGTGATTTAGAGGAGATAGGACCAACATTCTCAGTTAAAATAAAATAATATCACCCATAACAGGCTGCATCTTTGGCATCAAATCACTTCTGGGAAGTATTCTGAAAATAGGTCTTTTTTTTTTTTCATCTTTGCATGTATCTGTGCACATCAGTAAAGTACTTGTGTTAGTAATGCCAATATATCAGCATAAATAGAAGAGTGATCCTTTCTAACCATTACTCCCCGGCAGTCAATAAGACGTAATTGAATGGGGAAAAAACTAGGTCAAGTCTTTTCCTTGAGACGAGATGACAAGTTAAGGGTTTGTTTCGGAACTTTGTCAAAGGTCAATTAGATTAATTTCTTTGAGTGTTGGGTCCACGGTGTCATAGGGAGAAAGAGCCAGCAACTGGTTAGAATGGAGGCGCTAGTCTCGGCCCATGAAACTTCACCAGAGGTTCTTGCTCTGTGAGGGTTCACCCCAGCTCTGTTCTCACTCCACCTGCCACCTCCAAGGGATCACTGTTTTGAGTTGGCTGGTGAGACCCCAGCCACTTCCTTAATTCATACACTTCTGAAAATTGAATTATTTAGTTGTTGTGTGTTTTCCCCCAAAAGAGATTCTTCAGAGATTTATGACCATTTAAAAATATATTTAATTTCTAGAATATTTATTGAAGGTCACTTTTAAAATTGTTTTGGAAGTTTATATTTTGTGTGCCATCACCACCACTACTCAGGGGCCTTCACAGCACTGTGGGCTGTGTGTTTAGGCTGGAAATTTTCCCTCATTCCAGTGAAGTCAGAGAAGTTCATACTAAGAATTTTCCTGAAAGAATGCAGTATAGACTTCAGGCATTGCAAAGTTAAAGGTACCTGATCTTTTCTAACAGTGCATCTTAAAATTTTGCATATCTTATAATCATCTGGAGAACTTGCTGAAACAGAGATTCCTTGGTGTCACCCCTAGAAATTATCTTGTTGGCTTTGTGATAGAGAGAGATCGAGTTCCTCACAAGTTCCCAAGCACATCTTGAGCAGCACTGCCTTAGAGAATCTGATAAATCAAATAGACCATCTCCCAAGTATACATGCATTCACACAAATACATAAAATTGCTACAGTTTTTGAAGCTTGGCTCTGAAATGACAAATGGACTTGAATGTTTCTCTTCTTGATGTTACTATTGTCTTGCCCTTGGGTTGGACACCCCTGCTGAACAGACTGCAGTCTAACCTCACTAAATTTTACACAGTAACATTCACTGAGTTGGCTCAATCCTGCATTTCATTTAAGGGTGTTTGTTTTCAGAATCATTTTTACTATAATCCTTCAGCATCTGTGATGGGGATGCCATTGAAATGGTGCTTTAGTAGGCAGGGGTGACCAAATGTGGCCCAACACAAAATCATAAATTGACTTAGAACATGATGAGCTGTTTTTGTGATGACGTGTCACAATGTATTTACTGTGTGGCCCAAGAAAGCTCTTCTTCCAGTGTGGTCCAAAGACACTAAAAGGTTGAGCACCCCTGCTTTAGTACATCTAAAACTATTATAGTATTCTTTCAATCACAATAGCTAATTACCCAGCTTAGTAGCTATTATCCAGAATCTAACTCCCTTCTAGAGTCTCCTCTTTCACCGATTATTATTGCCTTGCCTACGAAAGGGGCAGGGAAAGACAAAGTTAGCATACTCATTTTTCCTACTTGTTACATGTGATGTTTGGTGAGAGGAAACCGAAACTAATGAATGTGCTGCCCTTGGGGACTATCTGCAGTTTTTTCATCTGTTTCCTCTCTCTCCATCATTAATATTGCTAATTGAAGGATGCATATATTCTTCTGCAAAACAAATCCTGTACACTTCAGTTACCAGAAATCCTCTGAATAAAAGAAATGGAGAAAACTCAGGAATGAATTAATGTGTTGTGATAGTTTGAATTATAATCACGTCCCAGGGGAATTTCCATACCTGTGGAGGAAGTAAGGGCAATCGGATGTAAGAAAGCAGCATGGCGAGGTCTTGCTGCCTAGCCTGGACATCGTGCCCCACCCACTGCATCAGAGCATGGAAAATGGTTTCTTCATCAGGCACATTAATATCGTCACTGCACAGAAGTTTGGAGATTTCATTAGCTGGAAGCAGGAGGAATTCTTGGTTCTTTATTACCTCGATGAAGTGTTCCTAGAAAAGAAACGTCATCTGCTGAAACCTGGTTACTTTAGAAATTTCTTAACAACATGAGTATATCAAAGAATTTACCCATGTATAATACATATCCTTATTTTTCCCTGAAAAATTTGGGCAAAATGTGCTTGTTAAAAATATGGTATGTTTTGCCTCAATGTTACTGGCTGCTGACTGGTGGTGGCCACTAAAGGTGAAATGGTTAAAATTAGGTTAATTTTTAAATCAAGAGGATATTCTGTGTCAGGAAATCCCTTTCTTTCTCATGCATAAGAAGCAGGTACGAATTTGATATTTTGATTTCTTCCCATGAATCAGCCCATGTGGAAACCTACTCAGTGGCTCACGTGAGTCCCATACAGCCAATCAAATTGTAGTATGCATTTGAGAAGGTTAAGAAATGGTCATATTTAAATATAGCCAGAAATTAGAATTTTCAATAGACTTTCTTATAGGCTCCTTGATGAGACTATTGAAAATTAGTAAATTCATGTAAATAAAAAATGTAGTGGGAAAAATTATCTAGAATAAGGCATTGCAATATCCAGTATTATACAGAAATATTTACTTAAGCTTTCAGCTTAATTTTAAATTGTTTTACTTCACAATTATTTTCTTCCTAATTTCAAGGTAAACAATTTCTTTCATGAACCTGCTCAAGAGTATTTTTTGTACCTTTCCTTTGGTATGCTTTTTTAAAAATCTATGCTTACATTGTTGTAAAACTTATCAAATAAATGTATCATACTTGCTGAATTTTTTATCAATGCAGACTACTACTTATATGATTATGGTGGTTAATGTTATATATCAGCTTGACTGAGTTAGGGAATGTCTTGACTTTTGGCAAAACATTCTGTGGATGTGTCTGTGAGGGTATTTCTGTGTGAGGTCCACACACATTACAGAGAGTGGAGGGAACTGCTTCACATGGCATGGAATTGTAGCTCAGCCTCCATGTGGAAAACCAGTGGGGAGTGAGTAGCATGCCCACAGATCGGTTCTCCACTGGGGAATCGGGCCTGCATTGTACCTAGACTGCTATGAGACTTGCTTTTGCTAAAACTTCCTCACCCTGAATTGAGGCAGGGAGTGCTTACTGCAACTTCTTAAAGTCTGTGCTAAATCTCCCAAGTATGGAGTGTAACCAGTTCAACCACTTTTCCCCTTGATCTGCAACATCCTTCTCTTTGAAGTAATTTAGCAACATTCTTTTCTTTGTTATCTGTAAAAGGCAATCCCCTGCAGTGAACCTGTGAATAGTAAATGAGGACTACCCTCCATGTAATGTACCCAGAGAAGCAATAAAAGCTTGTCCAGGCAGGGACTGGGCTCTCCCTGGCCCTCTCAGTCTCTCTGTCTCAGAGAGTAGCCATGCCGTCCCTTTTTCTCCACAGGACTCCTGTGTGAATTTGTTCTCCAGCAGCCACAACACACACGGATACTGCAGGCCAGAATCTGCCACAGGAAAGTAGTCTGTTTTGTATAATCTATAATTCAAACAACTATAATTAACTTGCTAAGATGATCTGTATTTTATACTATCGATACAGTATTACAAAAGCATCATTAGATCAAGAACTTTACCTATTTTACTGTATGTATAACAAATACTAAAATAACTAAAGAAGAGGGATGCACATCCTGCTTTAAAACTGAGTTTCAGTCACATCATAGGAAAAGGAAGAGAAGTTGATTTTGAGCAACAACAACCACAAAAACATTCAGGCTGTTTATCAGCATGTGTTTTGTCTGCAAAAGTAAGATACCAGAGAGGAAACTGTTAATACTTAGTTCAAGAATTTAAGTAATTTAACAGGAAGTTTTCATGGTAGAATTAATGTTTAAACCATGTAACTGCTGCTGTTACAGATTCTATGGCATTTTGCTTAGGGTATAGTAATATAAATAGCATAATTAAATGGCACACGTTAAAATTCCAATCCATTATAATGTGATTCTCCACATAATGGCATTGTTTCAGGAATATGTTCAAAACTTCAAATTTTCAACAGGGACCAAGGATGGAAAGAAGAGGGAAGAACTTTTACAATAAATTTTTAGAGAATTCAAATATTGAAATCTCAGAAATTTTAAGCTATGTACAAAACTCTAGAAAAATAATCTTTATTTATATACATCTCAAATATAAAATTTTAATGTTAATTTTGGTATTTTGAAGCATGTTTTTCTCTGCTGTTCACTTTTATATATCATACTTGCATTTTAATATTGAATCTTAAATAACTATAGCGATTTTCTAAGCTTGAAATATTTATCTTTTGATTGGGTTTCACAGAAAGATCCATCTTTTGAACTGTTAACTGCTTTAGGGGTTCAAAAGTGGATTTTGTTCTTTGCATCTGGAATTCATTAGCATTGATGATAAGGCTATATTTAATATCCTTTTTCTACTTTTTCTTGCCTCACTACAGATGATCTATGGTTCACGTCACTGTTACTTGTCTGACTAAACAGTTCTATTCCATACAACTTACAAAGAACACATATGAGCCCTGGCTGGTATGTCTCAGTGGATTGAGTGCTGGCCTGTGAACCAAAGGGTCGATGGTCAGATTCCCAGTCAGGTCAGGTTTCTGGCTTGCTAGCAGGCCAGATCCCCAGTAGGGGGTGCACAAGAGGCAACCACACATTTATGCTTCTCTCCCTCTCTCCCTCCCTCCTCTCTCCTCTCTCTAAAAATAAATAGATAAGATGTTTAAAGATATTAAAAAAAACTTTTTAGTTTCAAAAATGAGAAACTTGCTTGGGTACAGCTCACTCAAATGTTTTAATCCAATGTCTATTATGTGCATGTCATTTGTTAATTGATATTCTAAACATTTAAAAAATAGAACTACAGTATCATCCAGAAGCCCCATAATTTGTTAGTATATATTGCTTTTAAATTTTATCCCAATGCTCTAATATTTACTTGGAAAAATTTTATATATACATGCACATATACATGTAGGCTTATACACACATACAGAAACATATATACACACATATAAGTAGAACAAATCAGTAAGTTAGATATTGGGTTCATATGCTATTATTGCAAATCGATTAGAATCAGTTGCTTTTACCATTGTGTACTTATGTGCCACACTTAGGAGCTCTGTGCAACCCTGGGCATCTCCGAATGATCGGATCCCTAAGCAGTTTGAAGGATGGAGCTGCTTTATGAGAAAATTGGAGCAGACTTCAATGACTTGAGTCAGCTGCAGGAGACAGGCTGCAGCCAGCAAATTTTCAATTGTATCTTCCTTCAGTTGGAGGACACCTAGATGGTTTGGAAAAGTAGAGAATTATTACATGTCCATAAAGTAAGACACAGATATGCTAGTTAGTTGAAATGTACAGTTTCTGTCATTAGTGAACCTGTGTTTTCTTGGGTACAGTAATGGCCATTCAAAGACAACATATGTGAGAGAGTCTGTATAAATGCTAGTAAGATGGCTGGTGACAGTGAGACTAGACTATCAAAAATGACTCTGTCAAATGAACATTGAGTACTGTCATTGCAAAAAGAGCAACTTCTTATTTATCACCTTAGACTTGCATCTAAATCTTGTATCAAAAATTATCCACATTATGGTTCAAGAATATTATGCGATGTTGTGTAAGACTAATGTAATCAGCCATACAGGTACCTGCCATTTGTGTGGAAAAATATCTCGCTGAGAGGACTTCCGCCAAGATGGAGGTATAGGTGGATGTGCCGTGCCTTCTCACACAACCAAGTTTAGGGACAACTAAATATTAGCATCAGAAAACACAACCAGAACACGGAAAATTGAACTTTTCAGAAGTCTGTTAACAACAAATTCTTCAGCCCGACCGGTAAGGGGCGAAACCGGCGTCTCGTGAGGGGTTGCACAGGAGGACTCCGGTCGGACGGACCCAGGCGCAGAATCCAGACGCGCGAATCCAGATGCACGGGTTCCAAACGCAGGATTGGACCTAGTGAGCGACCGAGCAACCCACCGGGTGAGCGACTGCTGAGGAGACAGTGGGGAGGCGGTGCTGCGTGTTGACTGTGGTTGCCTATTTGCGGGTGAGCGGACAGGCGAGGGAGTGGGCAGTTGGACCGGGGCCCGGCGGTCCCCGTGGCAAGCGGCAGTAGAGGGCGTCGCCTTTCCCTGCTCTGACCACGCCCCCACATACAGCGTCACAACCCAACGACCTGGGAGTCCAAGGCGCCGCTTCTCACATTTAAAGGGCCAGAACAGACCAAAAATGTCGCAGGAAGACCTCAAAGCCCCAGAGATAAATCTAAGCGACGAAGAAATAGCAAAACTCTCAGACGCACAGTTTAAAACACTGGTCATCAGGATCCTCACAGAACTGGTTGATTATAGCCACAAATTAGAGAAACATATGAAGGCTAAACTAAGGGAAATGAATGGAATTCCACAGGAAACCCATAGCGATGAAAAGGAAACTGGGACTCAAATCAATAGAGTGGACCAGAAGAAAGCAAATAATGGCCAAACAGAAAAGAGTCAAGGAGCAAGAATTCAAAGAAATGAGGAGAGTCTTAGGAACCTCCAGGACATCTTTAAACGCTCCAATATCCGAATTATAGGGGTACCAGAAGGAGGAAAGACACAACCACCAGGGGAAAAATTATTTGAACAAATAATAAAAGAAAATTTCCCCAATCTGGCAAAGGAAATAGACTTCCAAGAAATCCAAGAAGCTCAGAGAGTACCAAAAAAGTTGGACTGAAGAAGAAACACACCAAGGCATATCATAATTACATTAGCCAAAATTAAAATGAAGGAGAGAATCCTAGAAGTAGCAAGAGCTAAGGGGACAGTCACCTACAAAGGAGTCCCCATCAGAATGTCAGCGGATTTCTCAAAAGAGACCTTACAGGCAAGAAGGGGCTGGAAAGAAATATTCCAAGTCATGAAATCTAAAGACCTACAACCAAAATTGCTCTATCCAGCAAAACTTTCATTTAGAATGGAAGGACAGATAATGTGCTTCTCAGATAAGATCAAATTCAAGGAGTTCATCATCACCAAGCCCTTATTATATAAAATGTTAAAGGGACTTATCGAAGAAAAAGAAGTTAAAGAAACATGAACAGTGAAAGGACAGCAAACTCACAGTTATTAACAACCACACCTAAAACAAAAGCAAACTAAAAGGACAGCTAGATCAGGAGTGGAAACATAGAAATGAAGATCTCAAGGAGGGTTAGCAACAGGGGAGTGGGAGGAGGAGATGGGGGAGAAGGTACAGAAAATAAGTAGCATAGACAGTAGATAGAAAATAGATGGGGGGGTAAGAATAGCATGGGAAATATAGAACCTAAAGGACTTGAGACACATGGACATAAACTAAAGGGGGATAATGGAGGGGAGGGAGGGCAGGGTGGAGGGGAATGAAGGGGGGAATAGAACAACTGTAACAGCATAATCAATTTAAAAAAATAAAAATAAAAAAAATATCTCGCTGAGTAAGAACATTGAGCTTCTATGTTTATTTTGTCATCTGCATTTATTAGCTGAGAAGGATAACTTTGCCCAAATGTTGTGGCTAGAATTGATGCTTGACACTATCTCAAAAGAAAGAAATTGTTGCCAAGAGTCTTCAAAGAGAAAATTGCTTATATGATTATTTTGTTAGGTATAAAATCTGGCTTGGTTTAGAAAATATCTGTAAAAACTTTTTTTAAATGAGATCAGGGCAATTAAACTGTTTCCTCTATATTGCAATATTTGTATTATTTAGAACAGATGCTATTGACTATTTATTGCAAATGTTATGTCATTTTGATAAGTTATTGTGACTTTTTAAAAATTTATTTATCTTTAGAAGGGAAGGGAAGGGGAGAGGAGAGAAATATCAATGTATGGTTGCCTCTCGTGTTTCCCCCACTGGGAACTGGCCTGCAACCCAGGCATGTGCTCTGACTGGGAATGGAACTGCGATCCTTTGGTGCGCAGGTCCGCAGTCAATCTACTTAGCCACACCAGCCAGGGCAGTTATAGTGACTTTTTTATATAAGCCAAACTATAGGTAAGTTATGAATAATGATATTGCATATGGATTTTATAAATTATGTTATCTGGCCTTGTAAAATACCTTACTACGGATTCAATATGTTGAAGGAACATAAAGAAAAGAGTAATACATACTGTGAGATGTTCTATATTTAGTTTACTCTCTAAAATATGTTGCAAAGGGGTCCAGTCCAAAGGGGCCAAGTCTTTCATGTCCTGAATTTTGAAGAAGAGTCCTGCTTATATCTTATGAGACCCAGAGAAGTATGAACTATTCTCAGATTCAGATATAAAGATTCACTTGCTACAGACATTGAAATTTGGCCTGGTTATTAAGAAGAACATTAATCTCTAAATAAATGAAACTTCTAGAAGAAAACATAACCAAAATGCTCTTTGACATTGGCCTTGGAAATGATTCCTTGCATAAGATACCAAAGCATAAGAAACAAAAACTAAAATAAACTAAAGAGCTTCTGCACAGCAAAGAAAACAAACATAAACTGAAAGAGGAATCAACAGAAGGAGATACAGTATTTGCAAACCATATACATTATCAGGGGTTAATATCCAAAATATATAAAGGACTTATACAACTCAATAATGCAAAAATCAATCCAATTTAATAAATGGGCAAAGGGCATGAATTGACATTTTTCCAAAAAAGACACACAAACGAAAACAGGTACACAAGAAGATGCTCAACAGCACTAATCATCAGGGAAGTGAAATCAAAACTACAATGAGATACCACCTTACACCTGTTGGAATGGCTATATTAAAAAGAGAAGGGGTAAGCAACGTAGGTGAGGCTTTACATAAAAGGGAACCCTTGTGCACTGTTGGTGAGAATGTAAACTGATACAGCTATTATAGAAAACAGTATGAAGCTTTGAAAATTTTTGAAAAATAGAACTACAGTATGATCCAGAACTCCCACTCCTGGGGAAATATCTACAGGAAATGCAATTGGAATCATGAAGAAAGCATATGTAAATGGGGAGAAATATATACACACACATTTATATATATAATGGAATATTATTTAACCATAAGAAAGATGGAAATCTTGCCATTTGTGACAACATGGATGAACCTGGAGGTCATTACTGAAATAAGTCAGACACAGAAAGTATAGTGTATAGCATCACTTTTATGTGGAATCAAAAACTAATCCTGAGTTCATATGAACAGCAAGTAAATTGATGGTTGTCATGGCCCAGGAGGTGGAAATAATAATGCAGGTTAAATGGCACAAACTTTCAGTAATAGAAAGTTACACCTGGGGTGTTCAGCATGGTGACTATGAATAATGCAGTACTGTGCACTTTGGGGTTATTGAGAGTAGATCTTAGGTGTTCTCACCACACACAGAAGAGTTAACTATTTGAGATGATATATGCTTTAATTATCTTGACCTGCATCATCATTCTACTATATATATACATATATATATGTGTGTGTGTGTATATATATATATATATATATATATATATATGATCCTCACACTATATACTTTAAATGCATACAATTATGTTTGTCAGTTATTCCTCAATAAGTTAGAATGAATGAATACATAATATGTACATCTACACAAACACACACACATACATACTACTTGCCCCCCAAACTCATCCTGTTATCTTTGTTTTACAATTTCAGTAAATGTGACAAATATTTCAAAGAACGAGACAAACTAAATTTTTAATGTTGAGTTAAAGTATCCCATTTCTAGTTTCATTTTTATAAATGAGAATTTACCCACATTGTTCAAGAGAAACAGAGAGACATATTCATATATACTTGTGTTCAAATAGCTCTGTTGTCTCAGGGTTATAATTTTTATGGCATACTATTTACCTCTTGATCTTTTATAGTATTGATTTGAAATCCTGATTCTGCTCCTTATCACTTTAGGAAAATTCCTTAACTGGTATAATCTCATTTTTTTTCTACTTATAGAATAGGAATGAATGATGATAATAATGTGGGTTATATGATACAGGATTATTGTGAGGATTCAGTGAGTTAATATATACCAAGCAGTTACCTGTGTAAGCATACTGCACCAAGGAATTAAGTGCATTGGGGTCAACTCCTTCCATTTTGACCTCTTCTTGTTTGGCTTCAAGCACGTCATTAGTAAACATTGCAGCAAAATAGTCAGACACTGCACTGAGAACCAACCTAGAAATAAACACGTTTCACAGAAGCTTAAATCAGCCCCCAATTTTATTGAAAAGCTGAAATGCGGTCAATCATTTTGTAACACTGGTGAGACTGTTGTTTGAATCAAACTTTCACAGTTTAGTGAAGTATAGTTAAATCAAAAGGCAAATAATAGATAGCTTTTATTTTAGAGGATTTGTGCTGGTTTTCTTCATTGATTTCTCAAAAGTTTGTATCTTCTAAATATCCTACAGGGAAGTGAATCATACATGGTGATGCTTTTTAATACAGGATGATAAAAATCTATTCTCAATATTCCAATTTCTTTTTGTAAAATTTTTTTAAGAATTTATTTTTGTTCAAGTACAGTTGTCTCCATTTTCCCCCCACCACTCCCTCCCTCCCTGCTCGCCCCACCTCCTACTTTCAATCCTTCTCTCCTTTGGTTTTGCCCATGGGTCCTTTATACATGTTCTTTGACTTGACCCTCCCTCTTTCCCCCTTTATTCCTCTTCCCCCTCCGCTCTGGTTACTATCAGTTTGTTCTTTATTTCAGTGTCTCTGGTTCTGTTTTGCTGGCTTGTTTGTTTTGTTGGTTAGGTTCCACTTCACATTCCAATTTCTAATCACTGGACTGATTCTTTCTCATTCACACTTGCTACCCTTTCCCAATGTTCTGTTTGCCTAAGGCCACTTACCGATGAGCTGGGATTCGGAGGTGTCCAGCAATGAGGAGCACATCACACAGCTGTTTCTCTTTCAGGTAGTTCTCCATTTTATGAAGAGTTTGCTCTGCATGGTTGGCAGCCTGGAAGTGCTCTTCGCAGATGCTAACATTCATTTCTTCAGGATGCTGTTTACGTAATCTGAAAGGGGGATAGGAGTGAGAACATGGTTTAGCAATTGAAATTTAGGCACATTTACTTTGGAAAGAAATACCTTCTCATTCTCAATATTTCCCTGTGATGGCTGCTTAATGCCCCACTGAAGTCAAGTGTCATGGTTAGTATTTACATCTGGAGTGGAACCATACTAGGCAGGCTTCAGCTGCAGGAGGAGTATTCATTGTCTGAACACAGAAACATTCATTAATAAAGCTGGAAGAAAATATATGTCATAATGATCAACATCACAGTCTACCTTTTAAGTGACATTTCTGTAATTCTGTGATATTGGGAACTAAATGGAACCTTTTATTTTCCATAGAAACAGCGACAACTGGAAGGTAACCTCTACGATGAAGTTGATCACTGGCACACTTTTACCCCTGAGAGCATAGAGAGGAGACTGTATGGTGTTCCTTGGTGGAATTTTGGAGATTTGAGGTAAGAAGTGAAAACTGTAAAGAAATGTTTTGTGTATCTATATCTTAAATAAAAGAGAAGAAAACAAAACATGTTGAATGCTAGGTAAGTTTTTTTAAATTTTTTATTGATTATGCTGTTACAGTTGTTCTATTCCCCCTTTCATTCCCCTCCACCCTACCCCCCATCCCCACTATTACCCCCCCTTTAGTTTATGACCATGTGTCTCAAGTCCTTTAGATTCTATATTTCCCATGCTATTCTTGCCCCCCTTCTATTTTCTATCTACTGTCCATGCTACTTATTTTCTGTACCTTCTCCCCCATCTCCTCCTCCCACTCCCCTGTTGCTAACCCTCCTTGAGATCTTCATTTCTATGCTTCCACTCCTGATCTAGCTGTCCTTTTAATTTGCTTTCATTTTAGGTGTGGTTGTTAATAACTGTGAGTTTGCTGTCCTTTCACTGTTCATGTTTCTTTAACTTCTTTTTCTTCGATAAGTCCCTTTAACATTTCATATAATAAGGGCTTGGTGATGATGAACTCCTTGAATTTGATCTTATCTGAGAAGCACTTTATCTGTCCTTCCATTCTAAATGAAAGTTTTGCTGGATAGAGCAATCTTGGTTGTAGGTCTTTGGATTTCATGACTTGGAATACCTCTTTCCAGCCCCTTCTCGGCTGTAAGGTCTCTTTTGAGAAATCTGCTGACAGTCTGATGGGGACTCCTTTGTAGGTGACTGTCCCCTTAGCTCTTGCTGCTTCTAGGATTCTCTTCTTCATTTTAATTTTGGCTAATGTAATGATGATGTGCCTTGGTGTGTTCCTTCTTGGGTCCAACTTCTTTGGGACTCTCTGAGCTTCCTGGATTTCCTGGAAGTCTATTTCCTTTGCCATATTGGGGAAATTCTCCTTTATTATTTGTTCAAATAATTTTTCCCCTGGTGGCTGTGCCTTTCCCCCTTCTGGTACCCCTTTAATTCGGATGTTGGAGCGTTTCAAGATGTCCTGGAGGTTCCTAAGACTCTCCTCATTTCTTTGAATTCTTGCTTCCTGACTCTTTTCTGTTTGGCCATTATTTGCTTTCTTCTGGTCCACTCCATTGATTTGAGTCCCAGTTTCCTTTTCATTGTTATTGGTGTCCTGTGCAATTCCATTTGTTTCAATTAGTTTTGCCTTCATATATTTGTCTAATTTGTGGCTATAATCAACCAGTTCTGTGAGGATCCTGATGACCAGTGTTTTAAACTGTGCGTCTGAGAGTTTTGCTATTTCTTCATAGCTTAGATCTATGGGCTGTGGGGCTTTGAGATCTTGTGCCATTTTTTGGTCTGTTCTGGCCCTTTAAGTGTGAGAAGCGGTGCCTTAGACTCCCAGGTCGCTGGGTTGTGACGCTGTATGTGGGGGCGTGGTCAAAGCGGGGAAATGGCGGCGCCTTGTACTGCCACTTGCAGCGGGGACCCGCCGGGCCCAGTCCAACTGCCCACTCCCTCGCCTGTCCACTCGCGCACAAATGGGCGACCACAGTCAACACGCAGCACCGCTTCCCCCGCTGTCTCCTCCACGGTCGCTCGCCTGGTGGCTCGCTCAGTCGCTCACTAGGTCCAACCCTGCGCCTGGATTCCGCGCGCCTGAGTCCGTCTGACCGAGCCCTCCTGTGCAACCCCGCTTCACCAGCGGCAGGTTTCTCCCCTTACCGGTCAGGCTGAAGAATTTGTTGTTAACGGACTTCCGAAAAGTTCAATTTTCCGTGTTCTGGCTGTGATTTCTGTTGCTAATATTTAGTTGTCTCTAAACTTGGTTGTGTGAGAAGGCACGGCACATCCAGCTATGCCTCCGTCTTGGCGGAAGTCCTAGGTAAGTTTTTTTTAAATAGACAAATAACATCAGTGACAAATGCATTTCACTTTACTTTTAATATAATATTCAAAATAAAATAAACTGATTTATGGGGAGTTATTTCATTTCTAAATTGTTGTCTTGGTTGTAGTTTTAAAGAGCATAAAACTACTTTTTGTGACATGGATATCATCTATCATAAAATTGTAATGGGGTACATAGTGAAGGGTCCCCTGAAATGAGACCAACCCCCCACAATCCTTGAGTGGGGGAAGGAGGAAGTGGATGGTAGAGTTTAAGGTGTATTGCATAACAAAGCCAAGTTAATAGCCCTGCCTTCCTGTGGGGAAGACTGCTTTGACCCAGAGTGAATTGTGTACGTGAGTCTGAGAACGTTAAAGGATTCCAGACTTAGCCAGAGGATCTCACAAGAGGCAGGGGTGGATGCCCACCCTGGATGTCCCTGCATGGCTGGGAACTCTTTCCCTGACAAAGGAGGGCAGCTGAAGAAGGTAAAAGGTAGGGAGGGACTGGCAAAGATGGCAGATGATAACACACCATAGGATGGGTCAGATAGGAGGTCACAGGAAGTTCCAGGCTGAACATTTAAATAAATTAAAAGAGAAGAGGGGGAAGCCACATGCTCTGGAGTAAGAGGAGGTCCATGTGGGAGGTCTGAAAGAGAACCAACAGGTCTGGAATTAGTGAGGGAGGAGGTCTAAAACCAGATGCCTAATGAGTCACCAGAGCTGGTGGGAGTGGGGTGGGGGACCTGCCCAGCCACCTGGGTTTGTGAGAGGTGCTTGGGGCTAAACTGCGATGAGGGAATGCTGAGCTGCGGACTTCTGCTTTTCTGAAAGAGGATACCTCTGACTGATGAATTCTGAAACTGGCCTGGTTTGGCAGAGAGAGGTCAGACTATGTGTTTTGGGGTGATTTTTAAAGGGCGTGGGACATAATGGCAGAAATCTACCATTATTCTAAATCTGTATAACCTTTAAATAGATAACCCCTTTCCCTTTTCACCAAACTCTTACACTAGGAGTCACACTTCTTGGTGGCAGGCAATGGGACCCACAGCTGGTACAGAATGGCACTGGCGGGGTTCTGTGACAAAATCATGAGAATTGTGATAGACTGCCATGGTGATCAAATTCAGGACCTCTTGAGAGGTAAATATTTTCTATGCAGATTGTCTCTTTCTCCCCAATATGTAGACACCGATTAGTTTGACACTGCAATTTAAAACAACAATTTAATTTGCAAATGTTTTTTTCAAAATAACAAAATAATGAATCCAGTTCTTGAGAAAACGATAGCTAGCCCTTAAGTATATTTTTGACTGAATCCTTGTGAGAAATTGAACGCTTTTTCAATGCCGTCTCCTTAATTAGGACACTTCCCATTTTGAAATACTGTTACCAAGTTACACTCTAGGGACCGAACACACTATGCTGCATTAGAGTGCCACCTACAGGTAGGTGTATGCTCACATGGTAAGATGTATAGCTTTTGCTAAAATATTGCATATACTTAGCATTCTTGGTTCACCCTTACTGAAGAATAATTGCAAAAATAAAATCGCCAGATTATGTAAAGTGCCCAATGTGATGATTTGATATACATATAAATTGTGAAGAGTCCCCCATCTAGTTAATTAGCATATCCATCACTCCAATATTAATGAATTAATGTGGGTGATAATAAATTCTACTCTCTGACTAAATTTCGTTTACATAAACAATGTGTTCCAGTATATTCACCATTTTAAATTGCATCCTTAGAACATATTCATCTTTTAACTGAAAATTTGTACCTTTTACTAATATTTCCCTTTCTCCCTCATGCTCTAGACCTTGGAAACCACTTTTCAACCTTCTGTCTAAATTTCTTTTCCTGTAAACAGTAAACTCAGTAACTCCAGCTACTTTCAGAAAATAGTCTCATGCCTTGCTTCATTTTAAAACTTCCCTCCTAATTCTACCTTATATTTTTATATTTTCTTCCATGTTGCATTTTTTCCAGCTATGTTTAGATATAACTGACATAGAACATTGTGTAGGTTTAAGGTGTACAACATGATGGTTTGATACATGTATATATTATAAAGTGATTTCCACAATACAGTTAGTTAACACTTCTATCACTTCAATATAATTTATTTTTTGTAATGAGAACAAGTAAGATCTTTTAGTTACTTTCAAGTACATGATGCAGTGTTATTTTTTTGAAGGTTTTATGTATTTATTTTTAGACAGAGGGAAAGGGAAAGAGAGAGGGAGAGAAATATTAGTGTGTGGTTACCTCTTGTGTGCCCCCCACTGGGCTCTTGGCCCTCAACCCAGGCATGTGCCCATCAACCCTTTGGTTCGCGGGCCCACACTCAATCCACTGAACTTCACCAACCACGGCCAATGTTGTTAATTATGGTCACTATGGTGTACGTTAGATCTCCTGAACTTATTCAATTTATAAGGGGAAATTTGTACCCTTTGACCAACATCTCCCCATTATTTCCACCTGATGCAACAACAACCATTAATCAACCAATCTGAATCTATGAGTTTGACCTTTAGATTCCACATTTAAATGAGATCTTATAGTATTTCACTTTGTCTGACTTATTTCACTCAGCATAGTGCCCTCCAGGTTCACTAATGTTTGCATGTGGCAGGTTTCTTTCTTTTTTATGGCTAAACAACATTCCATTATATGTGTGTGCAT